TCACAGGGTAGTGACTAGGGTAGTCACAGGGTAGTCACATAGTAGTGACTAGGGTAGTCACATAATAGTGACTAGGGTAGTCACAGGGTAGTGACTAGGGTAGTCACATAGTAGTGACTAGGGTAGTCACAGGGTAGTGGCTAGGGTACTGGTAGTCACATAATAGTGGCTAGGGTAGTAACATAATAGTGACTAGGGTAGTCACAGGGTAGTGACTAGGGTAGTCAGAGGGTAGTGACTAGGGTAGTCACAGGGCAGTGATGCTGGAGACACACTGCACTGCTGGGATCAGAGCTTAGTATTAGGTAATCAAATTTGACATGTTTCAGTGTAAAATAAAATTACTCACACTGACACGTCGTCAAATAACATTCACATCTATCAACCTCTTTACACCGAGCCGGCACAGTGTTTGGAAACATATTTCTGATTGGCTAAACATGCCTACCGAAATCGGATTGGTTCTCATCGACCCGACGACATTGCACGAGATTCTATCCGTTTAACGAGCAGTCGCCGTGACGACTGACGATTCCTATTTGGCGCATCATTAAAAAGGTCACCGCCATCAACACTTACGAAATAGTCATCTTCACAGTAGGGCTTCCCTTCGACAGCGTAGAACGGCACTCCTCGTAACTTTTTAGCTGCAAACGCGCAAACAAAACCCGGTTGATCTCGTCGTCCGCTACACACATTAATCAATCACATTAATTAATTAATTAATTAATCAATCACATTAATTAATCGCATTAATCACCCGACGCGATAGATCGACGTTGCCGCGGGCAGCAGCGTCGTGAAGGCTTCGTCGGAAATAACCTGCCAGCGCCTCACTCAAAAACGCTCAGTCCTACTTTCATTCCGAACCCTCAAAAACACGAAGAAATATTTCGGTCAAGGCGGCACTCAGCTGCGCGGTCTTGAGTGCACGGTTTTTATATTCAAGCATAAGAACTCGGTAGCACACCTTGTGCAAAATACTGCTAACAGATATCGCCCGTATTATCATATTGTGCTGAATACCAAAGTGAGCACAGACTGTACTGTAGCGAAATTACCCCACACAGTTACAATCGTATATATGATAATGCAGAATAAGGGTGGACAGTTAACTGTAGGCCGATTACAGTACAGCCCAGCAACGATTCTAGACAACCCTCAACTTCTGCAGACGCTACATTATCCGCCGTTGCCGGTTGCTACGGTGATGCGTCTAGGAAACGGCACGCGATTCGCGACCGTTCGAGTGGCATCGGCTCATTTTACACACGGCTCGCAAAAACACAAGATACACCCCACGCCGTAAAACTGCAAAGGCAAACACTCGTCTTCCGATTATAGATGTGCCTGTCCAGAGACGGAGGCTGCAAGTAGGGCTCCAGGCTTCCACCGCCGCGGCCTAAAAAAGCCAGAGAGTCTGTAATATTTGAAACAGCACGCGCGAAGAGCAGCTGGCAGCTCTCACTATGCCTCGATCGTTTACGGACGTAAGATTCTAATACGCCGTAACCTTTACACGCGCGCACGTGCCTGCGGATACCACCACAGGAAGAAGATGCGTGAATCCTAGCAAATCAAAACCAGATGCGAAGTCGTAACGCATCTATTTCGCCTGCACACCAGGGGGCATAATTTGCTTTGCACATTAGGCGAGAAGGCACATGATTAAGTCGAACTAAGTTTTAGAGTTCTATTAATCTCCAATTTTTACACGTCCCACCGTCTTAATTATCACTTCGCAGATTGCTAAAGCCAACTTGGATATTAATATCTCACTGGGCACGGTTATGTGGGAGGCAGCCATGGTCGCATGCTCGCTGTTAACTCGCCTGTACTCTCAGAAGCTGCGCTGTGGTCTCCTACATGTGGGGAGTACATTCCCCGACCCACTAACCTGTATTGCTGGTGGGTGGGCTGGTGGGTGGGCTAGCGAATTGCATGAATCCGTAACTCACCCAGTACATGCTACGACCACTGATGATAGTCAATAATTATCATCACTCACCACATATGGTGCAGGTGAAACACCCGATGTGGAACATCTGGTCCATGGCAGAGCAGCCAGTGCCATCACCTTGTATCTTCTTGCCACACTTTGCACACACACCTGTGTATATCGAGCACCAGCCGGTCAGCAGATGTTAACATATGTTACAGTCAGTGGTTGTCGCTGAAGTTCGAGTGTGATATGGTCAGAACGTGGATATGGATAATGGCAGGAGTTAATGAAGACAAACTTTTTGTCTTCATTAACTCCTGATAATGGTGATGGTGTGATGTGGATGGTGAAGATGGATATGGATGGATGGATATGGTCAGTCTATATTATACACTCCTGATATGGTCAATGGGTGTAAGACTTTACAATATGAAAGTAAGTGGCTATTACAAATATTACAATGTGACCAGCAGGGGTGACAAAGTGACAACATGAATGTTGCAGACATTGCAAAATGGTGGCAAATGAACGTTGCAAATTTCAACATGTGACAGTTAGCAGGCATTACAGATGTCACAACACAATGGTTAGTGGGTGTCACACATCTGACAACACGACAGACAGTGGGTGTTACATGTTACAGTTTTAATTTTAAAGCTAGATTCAGGAATTATGTAATCATTTCCCATTTCAGGCATAACTCCCATAACAACTATATAAAAGCTCTGATTGCTGAGATAGCTAATATCAGGGGTTAATAACGACAAATTGTTGTCAAATGACAAATGTCAAATAACAAATGACATTTGTCAATTGACAAATGTTTGTCATTATTTACCTCTGCTAACATGTAACATTAAAGATATCTACAACAGACGACACCAAATACCAGACATGTCAATATGATCAGGGCCATAGATGTCAATATCATTAATCCTGCGATGCCATATATATATACGAGATAATCGCATGATTGGCATGTCAGAGCAACAGATGTGTATGCAACTATGCATGCAAGCCGTCTTGGCTATAATCATATTTAAATCTTCTGCACATGCTGAATACCAAGTTCACTAACGACTAATGCTATACTTTCAATATACTGATGCAGTAATCAGACATTTTGCCGATGAACAAAGACTGAAGACACATTAACCAAAACATTAGCAAAACAGCGAAATTTAAACACTGAAATCGGAACGTCCATGAAACATAAGAAAAAGTATATATGGAAGCTAGGAAGCTAGGTAGTTAGGACGCAGGAATCTGCTTGCTGTCTTCTTTCAAACAGAATCATTGCTTCCTGCAAACTCTATTAATTTTTGCTTGAGACCACCAATAAAAGTCAGACAGACATACAGAACTTAAAAACCAAACTCATACTTACTACCAGGGGTTAATAACGACAAATGGTCATTATTAACAATTTGACAATTTGCCATTATTAACCCCTGTTACTACGTGGTAATGCTAGACCCAGAATAAAAAAAGATAGATAGAAATATGGCACCTACCGACGGTTTCGCACGTACCAAAAAAGTCTGGGTCGTTGCCCGAGTCCATGCTCTGCACGAGCAGGTTCGTCAGAGCATCCAGCTCCGCCTCCTTGCCGTGCCGCACCGGTGGTGCCCCGACCGGCGCCCCCACCGGCGCCGCCACCGCCTGCAGCGACGGCTTCGGTGCGGTCGCCGGCGGCGACGTAGGCGTCACGCTGCGGTACATCTGCTGCTGCTGCTGCTGCTGCTGCTGCTGTGGCTGCTGCTGCTGCGGCTGCTGCTGCTGCTGCTGCGGCTGCTGCTGCTGCTGTGAGGGCGGTACGTATGGCGTCGGGTAACCCCGCTTCTTCACTGCAACATGGCAAGCGGACGACGTCAGTACAAGTCTCGCGTGTCCGGTCGCCACGGCAATGACAAACCTGCCGGCCGCGCAGGAAACCGCGACAACGATGACGCGCTGCGAACGCTCGGCAGATCACGCTGCGCGGGAACGCGTTACCACGGCAACGGCGACACGTGTTAACGACGATGTGTCACGTGTCTAGGGTCATCCTCCATGTAAACACCTCACGAGAATGCGACGCCAAGGCGAACGCCGTCGACTTTCGCGGGCTTACATGTTTTACATGGGCTGACGAGTGAAGCCTGACCCTACAACCTAACCATACGCGTTCACATCCTCCCTCTAATCTACTGGGGGGACCCGCTGACAACAATAGAATATGATCGAGGTGCACCACACGCGACTATAGTGCGTGTCACTACTATGGCGGCCGCTTACCTATCACGGGGCTGGGCGACCTGACCGTGGGCTGCTGACTGCCATATGTCGGCTGTGCCCCGGGGTAGACGCGGCCCATCTGTGCGGACGGAGGGGATGGCGGCGGAGGTAGGTCCGACGGGGGAGGTGGGAAGCCATCGTTCACCGAATAGTTGGAATATGCCTGAGGGGGAGGGGGCGGGGGTAGGTCGTCGTCCGAGTCCTGCGCGTAGTGGATGGTCCGGTGGGAGGTCGTTGTGGAGGCCATCGGTGACCCGCTTGGTCCTGCAAATAGGAGTTATTGGGCACGAGTGAGACATGTGTACATGATACGGGTATGGACACACTGGATGTAACACAGTTTAAACACACAATGTGCACATGTACGCCCTAACGTGCACACGTACACGTTACGCACATACACAAATGAACGCATACACACATACACATACGCACGCACACACGCACGCACGCACGCACACACACACACACGCGTGCACGTACACCCAAGTATGTTGGCTTAAATCAGTAAATGCCCATTACATTCTTCACTAAAGGCTTGGGACATTCTTCTTAAATTCTGGTTTCTCTAATGGCCCAGCATACGTTAGCTGGGCATGTCATAGCCATTTGGGCCACCAAACACAAGCCGCCCCCCCCCCAATCAGACACGCACGCATGTGCACACTCAAGAAAGCACACACACACACACACACGCACACCCGGCCTTGTAAGAGCACACACACAGACACATGGAAATGGACACAGTGACAACTAGCGACAAGATCTGCTTTCATAGCTGCGGCGGCTCCGCATTGGCTCTAGACAAGCCACCGAAGCCAACATTAAACCCCCGCAATAACAGTGCAGTATGATTCGAGTGTCATCACATGTACACACCTCCCGAGCACATGGCAACAGCTAGCAACAGCTGCCGCTGCTGCAGCTAGTGCTGCTGCTCGCCACAATGTCACGTTGACTCTAATTCCCTCTCTGCCACTGCACCCTACTGCCGACGGCCTCATCTCACGGCTACGCCTCACTCACAATTCTTTAATTGAATCTCCCCGCATCCACCAATAAAGGCAGCTGTTTTAATTTATTAATATTTTTACAACCCCACACGCGTGCAAATAAATCTCGAGATAGAGCGTAAATGTTTAGTCTGATTGCACGCGGGGTCAGAGCAAGCGAGTTTAGTCGCGTGGGGTCAGAGCAGGCAAGTTTACTCGCGCGGTGACCCCGTAGACAAGCGAATTAGACAAGCGACCGCGTGAAGACACGGCACAGCTGTGCGCAAAAACACTTCAAATGTCTACGTCTAAAATGTCTTCAGCTTCACGGTCTTCACCCCACACCCAACCCCTCCCTGAATCACGCGCACGCAAGCACGCGCACGCTTGGTGCAAGCTTTATCAACGTAACTCCTGCAATGCGAACACCCCCCCCCGTACAACACGACCCGCTGATTGCAGAGTTACTAAGTACACCCCAGCTTGTTCATAGGGTCACGCACTCCCCATCCTGCTCTTGTACCCCACCCCACCCCCACCAACACCACCCTCTGGCTGAGTAGCAACGTGTTGGCGGCCCTGAGATCGATCCCGTTGATGCAAAGCGCGTTTTCAAAACAGAAGCTGCTGCGTCAGAGAAGCCCTGCAGGGAGAGAGAGTGAGAGAGTGAGAGAGAGAGAGGAAGGGAGGAAGCATCCACAGGGTTTAACGGGCATCGTCAGCTTCCCAACCAGCACACAGGGAGAAACACGTGTCCTCTCTCTCCCTCTCTCTTTCCCTTTCTCTTTCTCTTTCTGTCTTGCTCTCTCTCGCTCTCTCTCTCTCTCTTTCTCTCTCTCTCTTGCTCACCTATACGTCGGTCCCCACCGTTTCCCTCACACTCTCACACGAGGCGGCGCAGTGCGTGCGTGCGTGCGTGTGTGCGTGCGTGCGTGCGTGCGTGCTTGCACGACTTTACGTTGCGACATTTACTGGTACACTGTACGTGCGTACGTGTCTGCGTGCATGTGTGCGCGTGTGTGTACCGCTCAATAATGTCCCAATGTAAAGTCCCACACGCTCTTGAGGGCGTGTACGTGCGTGACCCTAGTGCGTGCATGCACCTCAATAAATTGCCCCACGCATTCAACCGATGCGGTTTCTCTTTATACCCCGGTTACCCGGTATATATATATATACTTGTCTGTACCAGGCTCTCCCTCAAACTCAGCAGTTAGTCACGCATGTATCAGACACGCACGCACCCACGCACGCACGAACTACCTCGACGCCACAATTACAGTGTCCGTGTTATTAAAGTGCCTGCGTGGGCAGGCAGCCCGGATACATCGTGTGGGTGCGTGTGTGTTTTGTGTGTATTGTGTGGTCGTGTATAACCCCATTGTAAACTGCTGCCACACCCTACGCGCAAACTTTACGCGCGCGCGCGCACACACACACACACGCACGCACGCACGTACGCACACACACACACAGTCACACACACACCACGCACGCACACGCACGCACGCACGGCACGCACGCACGCAGCGCACGCCCAACACGCACGCACACACACCACACACACACACACACACACACACACACACACACAGTCACACACACGAGCAATGTCCAAGAAACAGTGCCCGGATACGCATGCACAGCTTGCTATGGCGTTGTTTGTTGCTTAGTACTCTTCTCTCTTCTCTCCCCCTTTTCACTCTGCCACCCCCTACCCAGTCGAGGGGCACCGATAACAACCACCGATAACTCCGCGAGGGACAAGTGGAAATGTGAAATTTCTGTAGTATAATGAGTGAACAAAACAGTATAAGGTGAACTCATAAGTTTCTATAAATAATCTATGTATAGGATCAACACTACGATAACGATACGGGTAGTGATATTGGGCTTGTTTAAAAGGTCAGGTTTAATAGGGAATAGAATGCCGCGTAAACAGATGTTTATCGGCGCTCTATCAAGCCTAGACTATCAATATTGATAGACTCCTGATTTTATATAGCTGCGAATTACTTGTGGACGGTAGACTGGTGAAGCGTATGCCAGCATACAGATAGATATTACCAGGAGCGTATAATGACATTTTGTCATTATACGCTCCTGATATTACTAGCCTTTCAATGGTAGGTGCAGGAAATGTAGGAGGCAGTCCATGTAGTAGATAGCTGTATAGGCTAGTTGGCTATCATTTATGATCTCGGATTCGATGATTCTCGGACGACTCACGGATTGATTATGATTCGAGACTGATGTGATAAAATGGAGCATGCGTATGCGGGCAGAAATTTCAACGCACAGCTTAGTTTTAGCATTGCAGGTAATAAGTACGGGTGGTTGTTATGTAGTGGCCACCTCTTGGTCTCTCTTTCTCTGTCACACACACACGCACACACACACACACGCACGCACGCACGCACGCACGCACCGCGCGCGCGCCGCGCACACACACACACACACACACACACACACACACACACACACACACACGCACACACACACGCACGGCTTAGTTTTAGCATTGCAGGTAATAAGTACGGGTGGTTGTATGTAGTGCCACCTCTTGTCTTCTCTTTCTCTGTCACACACACACACACACACACACATCACACACACACACACACACGCACGCACACACACACACACACGCACGCACCACGCACAGCACGCACGCCACGCACGCGGCGCGCGCGCGCGCGCGCGCGCACACACACACACTCCCCCCTCTCTCGCTCCCTTGTAGGTGCTCAATCACTGCATCTCTCTTCTCGCTTCCTCACTGGCGCACCTCCCCCTCCCCCGTTCCCTCTCGCTCTCCCCCTTCTACGCCGGTGCTCTCGACCTTTACACGTCTACCCCTACAGCGGGCGAGCGTGGGAGCGATATAACGTGAGATACCTGATGACGTTTAAGGTTACATCATCCGCTAATCTGCAGGTGTAGGCTGCGAGCACCGTGCAAACTGAACGCACAGTGTAAGCGCGGCGGGTGTCTTGTATGCACTAGTGCTTTGTGTTGGCGTGTTTTTAAAATGAGCTTTAAAGTAAACATTCGCGAGCAACTTCGGCTGAACGGTACTCTCTAAGATAGCTTGAGTACTCGAGAAAGGCAGCTGCTATCAAGACGATACTATAACACGTAGAAGGCGAGCTAAAAAAAATCCCAAAGTTCGTTCGAGGCTACTAGTACTTTAACCTCTTTTTTAAAATTTATACTTATACTGTTACTCGTGTATTTCTTACGTAAACAAACAGCTAGAATAATTCACGGAATTACCTATCTCTATACGTAATCTCAATCTAACATAAATATTTAGGAGGATATATCAACTTTGTCCCACCGCACCACCACAGTTTCTCAGCACATTCTTCACTTGCACAAGTAATGTAGTACCTCTCACCTTCCCTTTCACACCTCCCTCCCTCCCTCTTAAAAGTTTGCAGCTAGAACTTTTACAAGAAACCAATTGTAGATCATAGTTAGCAGCTGTATGCCCGATTCGCATCTCTTCTCAGCTCTGTGTGTATATTTTGGTGGCTTCAGCTATCGCATACAGCGGGAGGCATGAGTGTGCACATGCAGCTACTGATATGCTGCTGTGTTGAGTACTTTGCGCGCGCGTTCTGTGAGTGCTGAGTGTGAGTGTGAGTGTGGAGTGTCGTGCTGTCGCTGTGAGTGGTGTGTGTGTGTGTGTGTTGTGTGTGTGAGTGTGCACATGCAGCTACTGATGCTGCTGCGTGTATGAGTACTTGCGCGCGCGTGTGAGTGTGAGTGTGAGTGTGAGTGTGAGTGTGAGCTGTGTGCTGAGGGTGCTTTTGTTGGGCGGGTGTGTGTGGTGTGGTCGTGGTGTGTGTGAGTGTGGCGTCGAGTCCGCACCGTGCCTACGGCGTAGGTGTGAGTGTGCAGTTGTGATGTGTGGTTGTCGAGTGTGTGTGGTCGTGGAGTGTGAGTGCTGAGGCTGAGTGTGTGTGGTGTGTGGATCGTGAGGCTGGTGAGTGGTAGTGTTGAAGTGTGAGTGTGTGTCGTGTGTTTGTGCTGTAGTGCATGTGTGCTCTGCGCGTGTGCGTGTGTGGCATGCGTGTGCCGTGTGTAATGTCGTGTGTGACAGTTGTGCGCCCGCGGTGTGCGTGTGTGTGTGCGTGCGTGCGTGCTGTGTGTGTGTGTGGTGTGTGTGTGTGTGTGCTGTGTGTGCGTGTGTGTTGCGTGTGTGTGTGAGAGAGACACAGACACCGAGGGAGTGAGCCTGGATGGGTTCGCTTGTTGCTTATGAACTCTCGGGCGGGAGTTACTAGCCCTGCCGTACGCCACACGTTCCCGATGCGTGCACCACGCATGTTTGATGCTGTACAATGCAGCAGCATCCGCTGCCCGCAGCAACGCTCACAGCTGTGGGGCTTCTTCTTTCCAGCGGTGCTGGGATTTTGCATTGGTGGTGGGTGTGGGGGTATGTGCACAAGAAGGCCCGGTTATTATGGTAGCCGATATCGGCGCAGCAGCGTCGGTAGGGGATTCTGACATTACACAGGCAGTGGCTTATCAATTACCTAATGTTTGTTGACGTAGGGTTCTGCTGTTTGCTAATATACATGCAGAGAGGCATGCTGCATGTGGGTTATGAAAGTGCAGGTTTGGGGTCTTGCTCATCTAGTATGCTTGTGTGTACTTTTGAGGCTCTGGGATCGAGATGTCAGTAAGACAAACATTCGCCCTCTCCTCCACCAGCACGGCACGCACGCACGCACGAGAGTCGCCGCTCACTCACTCACTCACTCACAATCCACTCACTCACTCACTCCTCACTCTCTTTCTCTCTCTCTCTCTTTTCTCTCTCTCTCTCTCTCTCTCATCTCTCTCTCTCTTCGCTCTCTCTCTCCTCTCCTTTTCTCTCACTTCTCAACTCCCCCCTCTCTCTTCCTCCTCTCTCTCTCTCCCTCGGTCTTGTCGAGATCAAGCGACGCAGTCAATAACAGTTTTCCTGCCGGCCTTGCCCTCGCCGGCGACGAAACCCTCGCAAGGGCAGCCCGCCAATCAGGCGCCGGCAGCGCGGCAGCAGGGAGCGAAGCTCACGTCAAAACACATGTACGAGCTTAGTGTACAGGTGTTACGACAGCCACGCCGCATTCACACACACACGCACGCACACACACCCGACACTATACGCACCACACACACCCACAGGCACGCCACGCAACATCCACGCGGCACGCACGCAGCACACACAAGCACACGCACGCACGCACACTCATTCTACGCAACCGGGTGCACTGCGAGGTGAGAATCAGCCGATGCAGGAACGAGCGCTGCGAACGAACTAGCAAGCGTTGCGAGAATAAGTGAACCAAGAATAAGTGGAATGAGAATAAGTGATGCGAGAATTAGTCAACACAAGAATAAGTGGAATAAGAATAAGTGATGCGAGAATTAGTCACACAAAGAATAAGTGGCATGAGAATAAGTGATGCGAGAATTAGTCACACAAGAATAAGTGGAATGAGAATAAGTGATGCGAGAATTAGTCACACAAGAATAAGTGGAATAAGAATAAGTGATGCGAGAATTAGTCACACAAGAATAAGTGGCATGAGAATAAGTGATGCAAAAATTAGCGGAATGAGAATAAGTAGCATGAGAATGAGCAATGCAAGAAGAACCGCACAACAACATAAATTTCGGAATCAAAACATCAAAATCAATCATTAACAAAAAATATTTGAACTTTTTTTAAACGATATATAGAATTATCTAGAATAGTCCATTCACCTTAAAAATCTGGGCAGGGAACATATCGCTCTTTCATGGCAAGTTCAAAAAGTTGAATTTGGTGGTCGGGCAGAGATGAATAACAAAATCCAAGTATTATAGATGCTTAAGTGAGCTTTTCTTAGCCACTCTCAGCCATGTACTTCAAATGTTCACCACCAAGGCCAGAATGGCAGGTACACACACTGCCAGAAACGGAGAGGCAAACACTTAGAGCCGATAATACTGGGATTTCAGGAAAACCGAAAATATCACTGACAGCATACAAGTCTCTGCAACTCTTTGTTAGGACTTTGACCATAAGCCAGAGGGCAACAGTCAGCCTCAGCTGTCTTTTTCCCATCCACACTAAAGATACACCGCATTCAACACAGTGGCGTAGCTAGGATTTTTCAGCGAGCGGGGGGGGGGCGCACTGGGAGGCCTTTACATTTCGTGGGGGGGGCACAATATATAAACTTTCTATTAAGCGTACGCATGTGTTTTTAATTCAATTTATTTTTTATCAAGCATGAATTTTCAGTGGGGAGGCACCTGGGGGGGGGGCACAGAAAATTTGTGGGGGGGCTCGTGCCCCCCCAGGCCCTCCCGTAGCTACGCCCCTGATTCAACACAACACTGCTAAAGTTAAAACACGGCTAGGCGCTGCTGGCCGGCTCATCGTATGAGGCGCCCCTCGCACAGCACGCCGAATTCAAATGCAGTGTGGCAACAGGCGCGCATCGTAGATTAGCGACAACATTGACCACGGGGCCCTACACCTGCGCAGACTCCAGCCTTTCTAAGCGCAGTCGGTCATTCGATGCCTGCCCCTCGCTTTATTGGCGATGCCGCCGTGGTCAGCGAAACCGATTCTTGAAATCTGGATTCGCTCCAGCCGCGCCTCGCCACGCGCAGCCATCTCCAGTCTGATCGGAGGCTGGGGACGCTCGAATTGATGATGCACACAGACACGCAAGCGCGCGTGTGGGAAGTCGTGCACGCGGCGAGACGCACGCGCGTGCGTGCACGAAACAAATCACGCGCTGCGAACATTTACGACGTGCTGCGGATCACCACCTCCTGGCCACATCCCGTTTCGTAGAAAGCCTACGCCGCATTACGACCATGCGCTTGTTTGTTTTTGTGTCCATTGACTATCGTAGCTATCTCCATTCGTTTCTGCACTTGCAGTAAAGTCAGACGTGCGGGTATACGTCTCCGTTGACAAAAACGAAACCCGTGAAATAATTCATCGTCGAGTTTTCAATTTGGACAATTTTAACGGATAAGCCGAGCGAAACAAACTAATAAAATGGGGATTAACAAACTAACTGCGAATAGGGGAAAATCGACGGATAATCCAATGCTGCTCTCCACGTCTCACCTCTATGTGATTGCATCTGAGCTGTCTGTATGGTCACTGTGGCACTGTGTGGCGCGTACTTTGGCTTCGGGGGCACCATCGGGCCGGCCTTCTTGGTCGCGTAGGGGACTGCTGTAGCTTGACCGTCGGCCCCTTGCCGACCGCTGACCTCCAACTGACCAAACTGCCGCTCAAGGCGCTGCTGCGTCGTTGACATACTGGATGTGATTTCTGCAGCAAAGACATCGAACTTAAAACACAGGCGCAAGGAACGTTTTGCAAATGTCAGATGATGAGCTGGCACACATGAACATAAATGGCAGTAGTGGAACTGTGCCTAGGCTGAGGAAATTCTATACAAACATCAATAATTAACATTTCTTAATAAATTTCTTAACAGGTCGCCGCATGCTAATTTTCCACCAAAAAAAAAGAAATAAAATCTCACATGGAAGTCGAAATCTTGTAATATGTCATGCGCGTGAAATTGGAAGAAAACACTCGACATGCCGGTATGGTGCTGCCAACAAAAATCACACAGACAAGCACCTCGCGAAATACTGCGCACTGGCTTGAAACCTCACTAAAACCATCCAAGAGAAACACTCTTGACCAGATTTGTAAGGCTGTGCTAGCAATCTGGTGTGGGAACAAAGTGAGCCGCCACAGATGGCCAGCCACAAAACGCCTACAGGATGACGTAGTGACATATTATACCACATAGCATAGCCACAGCATACCTGGCTACCTTATGCTCCTCGCATCCTTACTGCTCATAAAATCAACAGTGAATCAGGAAATTACTTGATTACTGTGCGCTACATGTACAGCCCACAATTAACGCAATTGATTAAACATCAGCCTCTCCATTCTCCCATGAATGAAATCCACATTCCGGATTGTTTTGGGCTGCAGCGAACTGTCACTGCCATTCATCAATGCACTACAGCTAGCCTATCACCAGGATTAATTAACAGGTAGCTCTAGCCAATCAGCGTTGCAATTAATGACCTTACAAAAATCTGAAAATGATTGGTAAGAAAGTACCACGAAGTCAATAATTTGGCTTGCACAAACAGATAGGTATATATAGAACACGACCTCACAGGGTGTTCCTGTGTGCAAGTTTGTATCTAAGAGTCACAAACACCAGAAGCAAGTCTTACATGATCGGCTGAACAGCTGGTCATTTTTTTCAAATCCCTAAATGGATAAAGCTGTCAGATGCCAATCAGTCCGTAAGATGAGGAATCTGAATGTATACACGTTCATAAATGACCCAGTGCTGCTAAATCTGCTGTAGCGGCAAAATAAAAGGCAAAGAAACAGGTTTTCCAAACATTGAGATGATAACGTTTTTTTATAATATTCAAGATGTAAAAGCATCGATTCAAACAAGTGGAAAACCGATATGATTATAATAAATGATCCAGAGAGACAAAATCGAAAATAAGTGCGAGCTGGCAGAAAAACTGAAACAGACTACCTGTTTACCTCTAATTTCCATTACAACTTACAAGTGTTTAAACTGAACAGTATTTATTGACCTCTTCAATTAACCCATTGCTGAATCATCACCAGGCTGACATTTTATCTGCCATGGAGATTCATTAGATGCATAAATAGTGTCTGACACTAACAATGCAATTTCGGAATAAAATGGTGCTGCGATTGGCCATGGAAAAGCCTTACATTTCTTGGACTACTCACCTTTCCCAAGTCATCTGAGAGTAAAGACTTGAAAGATGTGATCACATACAGAGAATTGTGGCATGCTGCTCAGATTTCTCCACTGGTTGCAATGTTAGCATTTAAAAAATTCCTTACCTTGTCACAAACTGAGTTCGTTAACCTTACCGATAGAGCTACGGTAGTTCACATTCTATGGAATCAACGATTAGGCAAGGGTTTATAATACTTTGAGAAGAAATCATAAGTGTTCTCGGTGCTAGTGTTCTCTATTATTATACTTTCTAAGTGGTCCATGCATGCAACTACCAAATGTATATATATACACATCAAGAGCAGATAATACACATAATGTGTATTATCTGCTCTTGATACACATTACAGTGGATGTGAATACACAAGCACGGTACGCACACACAGGCATGCACTGATCCCTGGAATGGTACGGCAGAACTACTTCCTGGATGCCTTTGATCAACTACTGTATTCATAACCTGCATGTGTGCACACACGTGAAGTTAAAAGTTCTTTATTACCTTGTTTATATGTGGTACATAAATATATATGTGTGTACATATATATGTGGCTATATGTGGTACATGTGGTACAGTACTCGTTTATATGTGGTACTTCAGGAAGTACTGAGGAAGTACTCAAGAAGTACTACTCAGGAAGTAGTCATTTAGTAGTTTATAGGAATTAGGATATCGTGGTCATTTTTATGCGAACTATGTCAAAGTACATAACTGAAAATTTCCTACTCCTAGTACATTGATTGAGTTAATTGAAATGTCAATAATTATTATTCCTGGCAGTGTGCGTGTGGCAAATGTGTGTAAATAATCAACACGTGGAAACTAAGAGAATTGACCCATATATATACATATATTACATATTTACGCTTCTGGCTTTCACATAAGTTTTTAATGTCGCTTTTCCCTGTAGCTAGTCACTATTAACTGTCATGATATTTACTGTGTATCTACAGGTATTAATACAGGCCTAGAAACTGGTGGAGTTATACTTTCATTACCCTTTCACTTAAACAAGTGCCGCAGAGCGACAGGGCTCATCTGGTGTCTGGTGTCATAGGTTTTTCCTATCATAACGCTATACACTGACTATCACGAGCCTAGGTCGAGCCGTTTAGATTTGTGCCGCAATTCTGCATTTCCTCCCTATAACTTAAGTTAAGGATGGAATGTTCCCCCTTCTTTTACACCTCTTGACCTTTGACCTTTGACCCCCAGCTTCGACAACCAAACTCGTTTTCGGATTACCCTCCCACGTCCCGACTTTCGAATCCGTACGTCGAGCCGTTTAGATGTGTGCCCAACTGTTGACAGACGCACGCACGGACGCACTCTCATGCGATTCTACAAGCTGCATCTGACTATGTCAGATGAGCTAAAAACATGCATATATATCCAAATGCAGAACTTTAAGGCTAACTCAGGTCGCCCTTACGACCTAGTCGCTGACAAAATTTGAAGATCGTACGTCAAAAACTGGCCAGATCGTCGATAAAAACATCGGCGACTAAACTCGACATGAGTTCTCTCATGACCGAAAATACGGTCGCCGACTGCGATCGCAGGAATAGAAACGGTTCTATTTCTATGTGGCGGTTGGCGACAAAACGTGTCGAGTCACATGATTACCAAAAGTCACGTGATTAACAAAATGGCAGCCTACACAGCAGTGTACAAGGAGGGATTATTGCACAAACCTTTTCTCAAATATATATTAAGTTTTCCGTATATCACAGGCAATTTTTTAAATTCTTTTTCTGCACATGATTATAACGATTTTCAGAAAATTGAGGATAGATTTACGAAGTTACCTGATGTTTACTGGTAAGCGCCATTTTGTTGGTCATGTGACTCGTTTTATGTAGACTGGTCCCGGCGTCAAGCTTGCTCTGTTTGTGCTAAAGAACTGCTTGTGCTAGTACAAATACTGGGGCCGCAAACCCGTCTACGTTTCCTGCAGAACGCTACGATCTGATCGGCGATGCCAGCGTGAAGTCACAAGGACATTTTATCAGACATTTTATCGGAATTCATACACAGAACAAAACATACCTGGATTAATTTAATAACCCCATTCTTAATCACTGCATGTCACCTCTAAAACTTACCTGGATCACATTAATAAACCCTTCTAATTTTCTAAACACTGTCACTTCTACAACATACCTTGATTTACTGACTGATTTTACTGACTTACTGTAATTTGTGATCATCATTTAACTATCTATGTTATCTATCTATCTACGTGTCTATCGATTCATGTCTATAGCTTTTTAAGCTCATTTAACGCAATTTTTATTGAGGTTTGTACATTATTGATGGTACAAAATTTCTTTTTATTACAGGCAAGGATTCTTTCTAAAAATTCAAGAACATTTTCATGAAATTCAAGGACTTTTCAAGCACAAAATCAACATTTACTAAATTCAAGTACTTTTCAAGGACTCCCCTCAAATTCAAGGACTTTTCAAGGACTGTGCGAACCATGTCACTTCAAGTCGACGTGAGTGTTGCTACGCTGCTAATCGGCGATAAAGTAGTCGCCGATAGTCAAATCGTAGGGCGACCTGAGCAGGGCTTTACTGATTTCTAAGGTATAAACGGTTTTAAAAATACGACAGAGATAAATAAAACCAGGCACATATCTATCTAACTAAATATACATTGGCACGCTTAGCTCAAAGAACCGGGTATACATGGAAAGACTGTAACGTGTATAATGTATTGACGTTTACACTATATCCAGTGTTGTAACAAGTCACCCTCGGGTTGAGTCACAAGTCAAGTCAAGTCAACACTGGTCGAGTCACAAGTCAAGTCAAGTCATTTACTAATTTGCCCAAGTCAAGTCAAGTCAAGTCAAGTCAACACTGGTCGAGTCACAAGTCAAGTCAAGTCATTTACTAATTTGCCCAAGTCAAGTCAAGTCAAGTCAGACACATTGTCAAGTCAAGTCAAGTCAAGTCAAAAAATTTGATCAAGTCAACTCGAGTCACTTCTTCAGTGTTTACCAAGAGCCATTTTATGAAATGTCAGATTCCCACTCTCGCATGTAGTTTGTTTAGTTCACTTTAGATAATTTTCTTTTACTACTTAGTACTAAATACAGTTTTGTTTTATTTTTGACTGTTCTTGTTCTATTTCAATTGTTGGCCAAGTGTCTTGCCCGACCACCTGTTGAACTCAAATTTGACTTTTGACATGCATACAAATATTCATAATCTTTGTTAGCAGTACTCTATGGAACGATTTTTGAAGTGGGGGTGCTCGATTTGTTATGCTCCACGGTGGCCGATGCAGGATTTCGAGGAGGGTGGTGAGAAACTGGTGGGGGGTATGGGGGTCCTCCCCCAGAAAAGTTTGAAAATGTAGATTGCAGGAGGTGGTATTTGAGGCACTTTTGAGTACGACAATTCTCTTTTTAGTAGAACAATTCTTACGCCTGCAGCGTCGCATCGATTGATGTAGGGGGCATTGTTTAAGTCGCATTTATTATTGAATATGTAGGGGGTGACCACCTCTGGGATAAGGGTGACAGCAAAACTCTTTCTTGGAATTGTAAAAAAAGCTGCAAAAGGGTTGTAACCTGCTTTGCCACTCAATTACATAATTTAACCCATGCATCAGGTGCCATTTTGTACAGACGCACGACTATTATACTTGGCAATAATTAATTGGTAGGCTATTATATATCATCATATGTGTAAAAATATTGTTGACGTGCACGCGCAGCGTGCGCAGGGGGTGGGTTCGCTCGAAGCGCGGAAGCTCTAGCACTAATTAAAATGGGAGACGTAATAATCAGTGCTCTCCTCACACATTCTCTCTCTTTTTTCTCTCTCGTCACACATTCTCTCTCTTTTTTCACTCTCCTCACTCTCTCTCTCTCTCTCTCTCTCTCTCTCTCTCTCTCTCTGAATTAAGTTTATGTGGCATCAAAAAGTGGGGGTGCTTGAGCCCCCTAATCCCCCCCCCCCGTTCCGCGGGCCCTGCTCTATGCATGTGAAAGGACCACACAAGACTTGCCCCTATTACACACTAACGATAGGTCCGAAACTACTCGAGCAATCAATGCGCTGCTGCCTGCACTACAGATGGTCCAGGATCGTCAGATTCTGCCATGACAGCCACGGTATCACTATCAGTCAATTAATGAATATCAATAAAATTGATTCAAAGAAGATGCAACGACTGCAGATGACACGACTCTGGAAATAGACTGGAATCATGATCACACAATTCGCCGTAGTTGCCCGCGCGTGCACGTGCCTGTCAATGTTAAAACTTGACTACGGCCACGTCCGGCCGTACCGTAACTTTACTTTAGCTATACGTTCGCTGATTTCGAAGGTACACATCCATGTACGTATGTCGTACACTGACACCATATTGCACGCGGTCACCATATCGCACACGCATGAACTGCTGGAGTCAGCGCATGTGATGAAAAACAAACATGCAGCCCATGTCCTCGTCCATCAAAAAGTAAAAACAAAACATTTCATAAAACAGATTAAACTTAATAAATACATTTTAGCGAGTAACAAAATATTGTTTAATCTGTATTAGTATTTGTCATGATTTTTAGCAAATTTCTATTATGGACTCTTGATGTAATTAATCTTGCGGTCCAAGTTTCGCTAGTGCTAGCGCTAGCATGCACTAGCTGTAACTTAGAAGCACTCAAGTCATCAAATGGCGACTCGAGTCCTAACTAGTTAGTCTTATCTACTATCACTATCACTGCACTGCTGCAATCATCGACATCAGTCATTCAGTGCCAATACATGTCCGTTTGATGTTTATATTCCTGGTAATGCTAAAGTGGTCACTGCAAATATAAATTATAATCTACCAAAGTATTATTTAGTATACCAGTCAAAATAGTAACTAAGATAGATACGTTGCATACTTTAACCCACTACAGTACAGTATAAGTAATAAAGTAGTCTAGTAGTAGTAGTAGTATATATTATAAATATAAGACACACAATCTATGCCAGAGTACCGATGTCAATTGCACATTTATAAACTTACTCTGTACCTAGCCACACACAAGGGTGCAAATCCACTTTCGGCACCTTAGGTATCACGAAGTGATGCACAGATTTCTGTGTAGCACAGACTTTCCGTATATCAAGAGAAATGATGCAAAAAGCCCTAACCCTAACCCTAACACATTTCGGTAATACCGTAGGCTAGGCTAAAGGTTTACTTTATGACTTAGGGTTAGGGTTTTGCATCATTCCCTTGATATACGGAAAGTCCTGTGGCATCAGTTTGATGACACAGAAATCTGTGCATCACTTCGTGATATCTAAGCCAAGGTGCCTAGGCTAAAAAGTAAAGTGTATTTGCGCCGCCACAAGTTCCTAGCCCGACCAGGCTGTGCGACGGATTGTCTATACAAGACAAGGGTATTCTAACCCTAGCAATACCGTTTCTCGGAGCTAACAAGTTCCCTTCTACTACGTTGGTTTAACAGATACGTGTAACAGTCGGAGAGCCTGGTCGGTTTACTCTATACCACTAGGCATAGCCACAAGTTCCCTTCTCGCTTAACACAACACTACGTCCTACGACGTGTAACAGTCGGAGAGCCTGGTCGGTTTACACTAGTCACTCTAGGCACTACTCTAGTACTGCACTGCCACTGGCACTAGTCAGTAGTCGTACTATTACCGACTTGTGAGCAATCGGCTATCTCTGACCATATAATATGCCCTGGACCTGCAAGTGCAGCTACTCGAGCACACGCTACTGACAAAGGTATTACACTCACCTCGTAATGTGGATATCAAATACGTCTTCTTGCTCGATTAATTACACTACTTCCTTACACAAGCGAGTGCGGCCATTACTGTTTTCCAAATAAGGAAGTAGTGACGTGCCCATGACGTAACGTCACAGCGCCTTTTCCGGTACAAAGTTGGGCCAGTGTGATGACGCCATATCATATGCATTGAACAATAACCATAACCAAATCATATACAATATTTGTCATATCCACAGGGACTTGAGGCGAAAAAAAAAGTGTTATATATATAAATAGGGTAAAAATAGGGTATATAAACCCTAACCCTAACCCTATTTATATATATCACTTTCTTTTTTTTTTCGCCTCAAGTCCCTGTGCTGTGGTCATATCAACCTCATAACCTCATTTCTCTTCACTTTATTTTTGGTAAATTGCAAATTTGCAACTTTTTCCACTGCAATCCACAGGGACTTGAGGCGAAAAAAAGAAGAAGTGATATATATAAGAAGTACTATATACTCCTGATTTATATATATATCACTTTTTTTTCGCCTCAAGTCCCTGTGCTGCAATCCGCAGTGTTCATCTATCGATCTCATCCACTTTTCTCACCATCTTCGTTAGTCTTTTTCTTATATTTACAGGACTTTTGAAGACTAATATAATAATATATATATGAGGTTATGAGGTTATTAATATTATGGGAATGTCACAACCAGAGGACGTACATGCTCTGCTAAAACATTTAATTTTGAATTAGAGTCGACACTATATGGCACATGACTATTTAAAATAATGAAGATAATCTTTGAAGAACAAAAGAAAATTTATTTTCTTATGTGGAAGGTATGTGACATGATAGCACTTACCAATTACAATACAAGGATATTACACCTACAAGCACATGTATGAAGTATTAATTGAACTTCGATACATTATATTTACTCTGAGGATACAAATACAGTTTACTAATTGCTAGAACTAGATTGAACACTATCAAATACTTTTTTATTTTTAACAATAAGATCTTGTTTATTTTCTTTGTCACTACCAGTTGTTAAGTGGTTTATATTTAATGGCAATTCAGGCAAAATGTGGAAACGTTTAAACAGTGTGACTTCACCTCTACGTAACATTTATGCTTGGCATGACCATTATTCTAAAATAGTGATTTTACAAACACTTTCCAAATAGATCGATGCTGTCAACACTTGAGAAATGCAAAATTGTTATCCTTTATCTCATATTATTGCAAATTCTACCAAATAAAATGCACATTGGAGATACATAGATACTTGTTGCAAAATATGATCAACATCTTTTTTTTGTGGCTATGCATGCAAACTGTTCCCATGTAGGTCACAAATCCTCTCACTAAATATATGTCACTTTAGCATCCATGCGCGATTGATCCAGTGCCAAAATTTTGGTCTCAAGCCTGCAAGAGAATAAATGACGAGACCAACTAGTGTATTATAACCATCTAGTAAGTAGATGCAGAAGTTTGGTTTCGAGTATAGTAAAAAAACATCCATCCAAAAAGGCCTAATGAGAATAAGTCATTCAAAGCAACTTTTTTATTAAAATTACATTCAACCCCTAAATTACAATGCTTTTAAACTTGAGTTAGCGCGTAGAATTACCAGACATTTACAAAATTTTTTAAACTATTATTGCAAGTTAGCAGCTTACTATGACTAGCATTGATTGATTGAACAGGAGAATCTTTAAAACGGTTACCAATTCTTATTTAGATTACTGATGTCAAACAATACCTACATCTTAACAACTAGAATCTACTTCTTCGATTTGCTGGAGGCTTCGAATGAACCAAGCTTGTCGCACGAGTCATCAAACTCCACATCTATCACGTTAAGCATCAGTGATCCAGCATTCAGGTAGACACGGTTCTGTGACTGTGCAATCTGAAAATGAAGAATTTATTATGGAGTTCATTGCTAACTTTGTGTAGCATTTTCTCAACACAACTTTTATGTAAAATGGCATCATCCAACCAGTGGAAGTGATGCAAGTGTAACTGAAATGATATGGAAGATGGCCAAATATGGAGCACTGGCCGCGCATAGAAGAGAAGTGCGCGCGGCAGAGGGAAAAGAAAAGATAACATGGTGGATCCGTGCGCCATAATGCAAGCCAGTGCACGGATCCAAAGAAGAGACTAGGTGACAGAAAGTGTTCCTCCTCAGGGTGGCATGTACGAACCGCCGCAGTATATATAGTCTATTTCACGGAGCTGTCCCTTATTTCCCAGTCCGCTGCGCCTTGATGAACAGTACTAATAGAGTCCACTAAGCATTTGCACTCGTTAACGATGTGTATTTCGGAGTAAACAAGGCTACGTGTGTTGAAATGTATATCGAATGAACAGCGGGAAATTGGGTAACATGCGGGCTGACATATTGTCTTCCCACTACGCATTGCGCAGCACGACCTGTAGCACGGTAGACTGTAGACGGTATAGGGGGTAGACGGTAGACTGGTACGCTGCCAGTTCGCTGCATGTCTATGGAGCTTGTGACAAAGGCTTGGAAACATTCTAGGCCTATTTTCACATTTGACATGGATTCTTCCGCTCACTCAACATTGATGAAATAGTTCTATTTGTATTTTCATTTTCACAATAAGTGCACGAAATTTAGCGAAGTACAGCTTGTGATGCTCTATTTACATACCATATCGGATAAACACAAAAGTTTGCTTTGAACTGTTCGATTACCAAACTTAACCACTTTTCGAGCGATCGGCATAAATAGGAGAATTCGTATTGAGTAGTGATCGCCGTCTCCGTGTAAGTAGTCCGCTTCGCGGACGGGTATCGTTTCACTCACTATAAGGCGCGAACGTCCAGCAAATCAAATCTGCATGGGGTAATACAGTAGAGCTGTGCCCCGTACAGGCTGTCCAGGCCTCTTCTTTACGCATGTCCGGAAATTTATTTTGGGACTTAATTGCATTGATATCCAATGGTATCCCCAAACGATATAGTTTGCAGTACCTGGATCTACCACGGATGAGATGGTAAGTGCATGGAAACAAAATAACATCTTTGTTCCATAAGAGGGAATTTTCCAGGATATTTTACAGCAAAACAATCAATAATAAGGTAACGTATAATTAGCAGCAATGTTTAACCCATAACAGAGAGGCATTCTTTACTACTACTATTCTGATTACAATCCGAATAACCACAGGTAACTACTATAAAATTTGCACAGTATGACAGGGGAAGGTCATCACTAATCGTACCACGAAGAGGGGAGCATGGAGTGTATAGCACATCAAGTTACAAGTAAAACATTTATATGGTTAATTATCAAATCAATAATTGTTTAAATATGCCACCTATCTTTCACAGTACCAAAGTATGTTTGGCGCTTGTACGGACATACCTAACGCGAGGTGCTTCAGCAGACGTTTGAAAACTCAATTAATATCTGGGTATGAAACTAGTCAAGGTGTCGATCAAAGAGTGCGAACAACGTTGTGACTGTGGTAATGCGGTGCCCTACACCATGACCTTTAATGCAAATAAACCTCTTTAATTTATATCCTAATGATTTTCTGCAACACCTGTGTGTGACCAAGTGGCTACTCTGCAGACTCACCGTCCTGGCAATGCTCTGCGCGGCTCGGATCTTCCTCAGCTTCAGGTAGCCGGGGTTCTGTGATATGGCCGTACCCAGCATCTTTGCAGCTGCTGCCTCACCCTCCGCCTGCACAACCTTGTGCTGACGTTCCTGTTTTGCACGCTCAACAAAGAACTGTGCCCTCTGTGCCTCTTGTTGCGCCACCTACGCCGCATCAAAAAGAGCATATTATACTCCCATATAATTTATTTGGCTTCCACCTATCTATCTACTACATGAACCTACTCTACGTAAAAGCCTAACAACAATTTCTGGTTAAAGAAAAGGCAACTTTTCTTAAACATTATGTATTGATGTCAGTTTTTTGCAGATCTTGCCCTGGTAAATTCAAAATCATAGTATAATCCTAGTCGGGTCCTTTGCCATTTTATGACAATCTTACACTAATTAGTCAAGAAAAATAGTTGTCATTCCTTGTAAAAACACTTTCTGGCTTAAATGAGCAAAGAGTGAACCAGATGGCAGCACCTTATTAGGGACTATGCTATACACCCAAATAGAGTAGGACTTCCCACCCAAACTCCACGACAGATGGCGCTCTCACTCATGGGCTCATTCTACCACTGCCACAAGTAGATTTCGGTTACAATTTGTAACGCTTTTTTACTACAAGTTTTACAGCAGGCACGTTACTCGTATCCTATGTAATAAGATTTGGACTAATAAAAGTTGCAAAGATATTAAAAATCCGACCGTTATTCCATGACAAATTTGATAAAATATAGTGATACGAAATAGTACGCAGATTGTGCGCCCATTTACCTCTTTCAAATCATACGCTGTTTACGAATCTCCATTCGCTGGATTGCCCCCGAGCTCCGCCCACTTTAAAAATAGTGCTAGCATTGTGGCAGTGGTATCCTGAGTAAGCGAAGGGGCACTGCATGCAGTTTGCTTCCCACCTTTCAAATGTTGAGCCCCAAAATTTAGTATAGAAACTAATGGCTCCACCTTTACATGGGTACATAACAGTGTTTCCCTTGGATCCTTGGATAAAATCATGAGTGAGGTGGTAGGGTTGAATATGTGAGTTCTGAAGGGGCTGACACGAGCGCCTTCGTATTAAACGTGCCTAGCGCACGTCTGGCTGGTGCATAACTGACGTGTAACAAGCGTGGTTGCGCCAGTGACATTTACTTTGATGCGTGGTAGCACTCATCAGTGCGTGAGGGGGCTTGGTATGACATATAGAAGGAGAAAATGGAACGTGGGACTGGGCGTGCCAGCCGGAAAACGATTTGGGAGGACCCAAGAATGTTTGAACTGGTGTACACAGTTCATAGTGTTATGAACAATATATACAGCAACAGGAACATTTCTGTAAGACCTGCTGATACCAGTTTTAGAGATTGCTTGGTAAAGCTTTGCACTGTTAAAATTTTCAGCAACAGTGTGCCGAATTAAATATCTACACAGTGGGATGGTCTTTTTCATTGGTCTTTAGCAAGCCGTACAACCGACATAAACAGAGCAAACTAAATTCACGTCATTATCGGACGTGTGCTTGGTATGGTATGGCTGTTGCGTATGCTGACGTGTGCTTGGTATGGCTGTTGCGTACATTGAAATAAAAACACGATTCAGACGCAAGTATACCTGCTTGGACTCAACAGCGGCTGTGTACTCCTTGCCGAAACTCAGCTCAGTGATGGCGACATCATCCAGAATCATGAAGAAGTCCTTTGCACGGGCGTCGAGTTGCCGTCGGATCAGTAGACTCACCTGTGATCGCTGCGTGATCAGCTGTGACGCGTTGAACTTGGCCACGACACTCTTCAGCACCTGAAACATTAATATGTTCGAGCGTACGCAACAATGCGTTGGTTGGGTACTGTTTGCTTTTTATTGCTTCTTGATAATGAGGTTTTCAGTTTCAAAATCAAGCATCAGAAGTTCAAACAAGCAACCGTCATGTGAATTTCCTCGTATACTTCCTCTGAGGCTGCAATCGGTGGTAAATTGGGATATATATTAATTATGTAATGCTGGCACTAATATTCCTCTGTAACCATTGTACAATTTTTAAGAGCATCGATTTAACACTTATCTAATATCCTGTGTTTTTATTCAGCAAAGTATATTGTCATAAAATAATACAATAATTCCTCTCCAACCACAGGTTTTCCAGCCGTGGAAAATGAGTATATCCACGGCTTACTATTTGTATACCATTTCTCCAATGATGGCACGAATTTCAAGGATCCGTGAGTAACAGTCGTTCGACTCGTCACCTGTATGCTTGGAAACTATGCATGGGTGGATTGCAGTTACCGGTGTTCGCTTGGTTATTATACGTATACCATTTCTCGAATGATGGTATAAATTTAGAGTATCTGTGGGTTATAATGATTCCACTCGCCACTGCCACACTTAAAACCCATAGATGGCAATTAGCCAATTACTGGTGTTCCCACCAGTTGGTGGCCTTGCCTCCCCAACTCAATTTTCCACATTAAAAATTATATTTCTTAAATTCACAGTTCTATAAAGGTAACAACCACAGTTTGAAGAGGGATTACTGTATTATAAATCAGGCTGACACTAGACTCGCTTTTCTTCTCTATAAGTAGGCATACTTCATTGACAATAGATGGGAGAACACGCTCATCGTAGTCCGTCCCCAACGTCTGGTACAACACAGGCAACATACTCGCATCTGGCCGAGACAGCACACGTAATGAAATGTTCACCATCTGCAAATCTAAGAGAAGCACCTTGTTAACCCATTTACTTAATTGCAAATCAATAACATTAAAAACAAGAGCCGCAGAGCGTCTGGGCTAATCTGAGGTCTGTTGCTACGGTTATAAACGTAAGATTTAAGTCGTGCGTAGTGACACCTTTGTTAGGCGCAGATATGCAGATATGCAGTTGCGTACACATTTCAGCAACCTTCTGCATTCTGCATACCTCCCAAATCCCATTGGTTGATACAAATCGCGTGCCTGAAACTCCTGTTTTATGGTGCATTGTGACCCTAACCCTAACCCTATTTAAAAAAAAAAAAAATTCAATTGTAAAAATTATTTGTTATTATTAAATTGTTGTAAATAAATCATGTAAATATTTGCGTTAATTGGGGAAAAAGTTAAATGGGTAAAGATAAAAATACAGAAAACAGGTAAATAAAAAAAATCAGATGGGATTCGATCCAACGACCTTTCAGCCATGACGCCTGTGCTCTACGCGTTCGGCTATCCAGGCTTATTGGCTTTCTAGATTATGGATGTTGCCCATGAATATGACAACACTGTGACGTCATTGAGGCAGTTCAGGAATCCATGTTTAACCCTCCTCTTGAGGTCAAAAGTTATCAGACACTTACTCTTCGACATCAGTGGAGAAGCACCATTTCATGGTCCTTTCAATAAAGTGATAAAAATGGTAGGTCAGTGCTGAAACAAAAAAGTTTTCCACTCTGCCATTAGGCCATGTCCTCAGCAGTAGCGGATTATCTATGGGGCAAAGGGGCATTTGCCCCGGCCCTACAAGTCTGACGCGTCCCTAAAGGTTGTGACTACAAAAAAATATACTGTTTATTATTTTTTCCAAAGTATATCTTGGGCCGGCCGTAACCACTTTCATATGACTACATTTGTTTTTGCTTTCTACTTGTTTTCATTTTCTCCGTGTTTTTGTGGTACATCTGCAGCAGCTAGGAATAATATCACTTTCAGGTAGCTAGTGGGGTTAAAACTACCAATTTTTCAAAATATGATTTAAAATTTTTTTTAACTCTACTAATTATTTTAGAACGTTTCCTTTCCATTTTCAACATTAATTGCTTATAATTATCCACTAAACAGGTCTAAAAACATTATATGCTTATGGAAGGGCGGGGTGGTTGGCGGCCCAAATATATGATATGCCCCCGGCCCAGGCAACTGTTAATCCGGCGCTGTCCTCAAAAAATGTCTGATATCTGACCTTTCCCCCACTGCCCTTTGACCTGCCAATTTCGCACTGGGATGGGTTTCCTCCCATCACACTATACACCGAATATTAGAGCATAGGTTGAGCCGTTCAGATTTGTGCGCAATTCGTATTTCCTCCTATACCTTAAGTTAAGGGGAAATATCCCTCCTTTACCCATCTTGACCTTTGACCCTTGACCCCCAAATTTGACATCCTGAGTCCTTTTCACGATCCCCCCCCCCAACGTCCCCAATATCGTGACCGTACGTCGAGCGGTTAAGATTTGTGCCCAACTGTTGACGGACGGACGGACGGACGCTCATGCGATTCTCCAAGCTGCATCTGACTTCGTCAGATGATCTAACAACAAAAGTTACAAAAAAAACCAAACTATTTATAAGCTGTTTGATTTTGTCAAGCTTTGTGCATATTCACATTACAAAAGAAGACCTTTTTACATTCAGGATGCATACCTTTACTTCCAGTAGGAGAAGTAAGTTTCCTAGGTCTTGATCGAATGTCATAGATTATTGGATACTGAAACCATGGAATTCTGAAATACATTAGAAACGCATGAAACAAAGTCAAATATCATCACCTTTTAGCATTTACTGCAGCATATAAATTTACTAGCTGGACAGTGTATAAATGGAGATTTAATTTAATAATTGACAGGCAATTCAGCCATTAGACTTATATTTATAATACATTTATACTAAATCATGCACATCTTGAATAATGAATTCTCATACATAGTGTTACATTGTCTGTAAGCTGCCAAGTAGTAATGGTCATTCCGCCATTAACAAGCTATCTATCCTGTATTTTACCAACTGCGGCCCCACGTTTAATGTTAATTTTGTTTGAAATGACATTCCCGCACCTGAAATGCAAGCCTTCTTTGTAGATATCCTTTTGCACCCCACCAATCCTGCTGAAGATGATTGACCTGTGACCACCATCAACTAAATAAAGAAGAAAATTATTAATTAAATCATTTGTGGTAGGGACTGCGACTGGCAATTGAAAATGCAGGCAATCTATTTAAATAATGGCAGTGGCTGGAGGTACGGCAGCCGTATCTGCAATTTACGAGGCTGGAGCTACGGCGGTCCATTCGCTTTCATACAAACAAGACGAAGATGGCGGCAGATTTCGAAATAATGCATTGGGACATAAATTCACGATTTGAGTTTTGATGAGTTGGAAAACCCTCGGATTAGGTATGAAAATGAACATTATTGTCAACGTTACATCAGAAGATCGCAAATAATTGCCTCAGCCCTCAAACAAACGCCGGCTGCCAAACCACTCTTCTACTTCTACTTCTACGCTATATTGGCCACCATCAACATACTGATGATTATGCCAACGGGAGGCGCTAGTTGAGACTAAAATAAAATTTTCCTTCCCTTTGATTTTCTAAAGAAAAAACCAAAAAAGCAAATTTTACTTAAAAAACTGCCCTGATGTCATTTAGGCAGTAATCAGAGACTTAAAGGAACATAGATTCTCGGCTGTCATCACTTCAGTGGGTAAGGCGTTCCACTCTGTAATAGACCTGGGAAAGAAGGAGCCTTTCCTGTAGTCACATCTGCAGGATGGGATTTGAAAAGAGTGCTCTGACATGTTCCTGGTGCTTCGAGTAGGTGGTATCAGACGGTTGTTGGTATCCAAGTTGACCATGCCGTTGACGAGCTTTTACATGTATCATAGCCAAATGGGCAACCCTTCGTCTTGACTCCAGCGTCGGCCAGTTGAGTGTTTCAAGCATGTCAGTAACACTCGACCTGTTGTGGTGGCGGTTTGAGACGTATCTCGCTGCTCGTCTTTGGACCATTTCAAGATGTTGGCAGTCCTGCGCCTGATATGGATCCCATACCGTGCTGGCGTACTCCACTGTGGGCCTAACCAATGAGGTATAGGCAAGTGACTTAACTTCCATTGAGGAAATATTTAGGTACCTTCTCAGGAATGATAGGGTTCTATTTGCTTTACTACAGATTGAGCTGATGTGGTTGTGCCATCGAAGGTCTGATGTTAGTGTGACACCCAGGTACTTGGCTGATGTGGCCACGTCTAAGGTATGTCCGCGTAGAGCATATGGGTAACACAGTGCTTCGAAATAAAGAAAAAGATGATGGTTGTGCCTGCGGACACCCAGGCATCAATCGGGTTGTCCGCAACAATTTCTTGGTTGTCCAAAAAAAATATCCCAAATCTCCTATTTTCAATCACATAATAATATGGTCAGAAACACCCAAAACACTGGTGTAGCCAGGATTTTTTAACAGGGGGGCAAAACAGCAAACTGCGCAAAAGATGCTGACTTAATATGTTAATGGCTTCTCGCGCCTCCCTCTCCACACCTACGGCTCCTCTTACCTTCTCTGCAATCTTTGTTTTGTAGGGTTGAAGCATGCGACAAAGCGCGACATTTTTGTTCATTGTCTCTCTGCTCAAGATATGTAATTGTTAGTGGCGGATCTAGGACTATCCAAGGAGGGGTGAAAACCAAGCAGGGGGGTATGGGGTTCCTCCCAGAACATTTTGAAAATGTAGATCGCAGGAGATGGTAATGTTGCGGCAACTTTTTCGAGTAGCATTAGCAGGCCTTCGATCTCTGACTTACAGACAATTCTCTTTTTTAACACTTTCGGATCACATCGAATCGCCCACTGTTGTTTGTTTTGGCATTGGCGCAAAGACATCGGAAAATTCAAAATAATAATGGAATAAAAATCCCGAAGTGTAGGGGTGAACTTGTGGTTTGCTGCGTGTCCAAATCGAGTTCATCTTTCGGCATAAATCAGAAAACCTGACATATTACCAGTGTTGGGAAATAGCAGCTGAGTATTGCGTCGGCCTTTTCCCACACATAGATTAATCCGGCGGGCTGCCCAGGCAATAAGTGTCTTACGAAGAACGGTTCAACCCTGAGAAAAACATAAATGAAGTGGTTTTTTGTCACGTTTTTCTTGTTGTCTACCGGACAATGTCGCAGACTGGTTAGTGTTGTCCGGCCGCAAATTTGGTGTCTCGACAAGCCGGAAACGCTTTATTCGTAGGCACTCGTAACATGTTGGTTGGAGTTTCCTGGTGATGGTTAGGACCAGACATGTGGTTTGTTCGTTTGGTTGGAACTTCTCATCCACGTTGTCTTCCCAGACGGGCTAGTTGGTCAAGTATTTGCAGTACTTTGTGTAATTTGTTTGGTTTTAGTCAGAGCTATATGAATCAATGTGTCATCTGCAAAAGGTCGAACGGTTGCCTTGTGTGATCTTCGGATGGTCGTGTTATGTAGAACAGGAAACAGGCAGGGTCCAGAGCATGAAGCCTTGCGGGACTCCTGATTCTGATTCATACACTTACAGGGTCAGATCTCTGCTCATCGGTTTGACGACGGACTGGCCGAATGTGATCTGACAGGAAACGAACGTAATCAGGTGCTTTGGGGTTTTACCTTGTAGACGAAATAATTCTGTCGCGATATCACACCTTTTTTATATTTGGTGAGGGTTTATTGGACAGAACGGCGTTCATGAAATTTTCGTGACGGATCGCATGCAAAAATGCTGCGCTGCGAATGCGGCCCGTACGGCCGCCTATGTGGCTCGGAAAAACCTTTAACGCTTTCCTGTTACCATGGCTTTACCTTGACTACTGATTAATGTGGTATACAGGCCTCGTAGCCCAAGCGGGGGTTCGGGGGTTGAACGAACCCCACCGGCGTCCCAAGAAAAAGAAAAAATAAAGTTTTCTTTTAACGATTGTGCAAGATTCCACCTGGGGTCGCTCCTATTGTTTAGTGTAAAATGATTGCTAAATCTCCCATCAGTGCGGGGAGCGGTGACAGTTTGAACCCCCTCCGCACCCTCCCCCCGCGTCGGGTCGCTTTGCTTCGCTCGCGTGCGGTCGCTTCTGCGCCCGAGGCAGGGTCCGTTGTACCAAGCGGGGAGGTCCAGGAGTACCGGACCCCACCGCTGTGCTCGCGAAGAAAACGCATCTGGAGGGGTCGTATTTTTGACAAATTTTCTGGGGGGTAGGGCCCCCAGACCCCCTTCGGCAGTGCCTCGCAACTGTCGGGTAGCGTATATGACCCCCCCTGGTACAAATCTGTGACACCGCCCCTTGCCGAGCAAATTGCCAACACATCTGAAAACGAACCCCCCCAATAAGCAAAGCTGGTCCTCACGGGCCTGTTATTACATTCGACCTTCAATCGGTTATTCACTTCTTAAGATTGCTTTTGCATAAACACCCGCTTCGTTCAGACTTTCCTAAATTACACGCCATTACAAACAGTCAGGACCATCCACAGCCGAGGTCTATCAGGCCTCCTTGCGAGCGCCAACAAGATACAAGCGAGAACAGAGGCTATTGTAAGGGACTCGCTCTGATTTGTGCTGATTGTTTGTAAATGGCGAGATGTAATTTGAGGGAAGTTGAACGATAGCGGGGGCCCGACTAAGAGGTGTTTATGGAAAGAAGACAATCTTTTAACGAAGTGATAACGATTGAAGTTGAATGTATACACATATCAGAAATAGGGCAAGGTGTCGGTAAGCCATGTAGAAGAAAATCGGTAGGTCTTTTTTATGCGCCACTAGCGGCGTAACAGGCCGCATTCTAGCGCATGCATTTTGAATGCGGATCTCACGAAACTTCAATGAACCCCGTTCCTGTCCCAATATAACCCTCACCAAAATATAAAATAGGTTATATGGGGCAGAATTATTCGGTCTAGGTTTACCTCGGATGCCATAGTGATTTAACTTGTGAACGAGTAGGCTGTGGTTTACCTTGTCAAAGGCTTTTGAAAAGTCCATTATTACACAGTCGACCTGCTTTCCAGCTTCCATGCTTTTGGACACATCGTCCACAAAGTCAAGAAGCCGAGTTTCGCAGGAGACACCCTTCCGGAAACCACGTTGAAGCGGGTTGAGAATGTTGTGTTTATCAGCATAAGCCATGATGTACGTGAGATGTCACAATGTGCTCAATGACTAATTTGCAGCTGATGCACGTCACTGACACTGGTCGATAATTTTCAGCCAGGTACCTCTGACCTTTTTTAAAAATTGGTGCGACATTTGCATTTCGCCAGACTTGCGGGACTTCACCCGAGTTGTAGGAGGCTTGGAAAATCATAGTCAGGATTGGCGCAATTTCTTTCGATACCGTAATTCCTTCAGCACTCCAGCCACTTCCTTGAATAATAGCTTTACTGTTTGAGTGTTGTGGTAATTAAATAATTTGGAAGTTACACAATTGAACAGAAGGATTAACACAACCTGGTAAACTACCATGACAATTATTTTTAGTTTATATTTGTCTCTAGACATGAAAAAAATCTAAACTAGCTACACACTACACCGATCATGATGACGAAACCGGCGAAACGTTTTGCCTGTACCTGTGTACAATGATTCTTTGATGCCATACCCAACCGCGCCAGCAGCTGCCAATAGCTTCAATCCCAATCCAACACCTTTTGGTGCACCACCACTGAATTTGCCTGCTAAATCCTTTAAATTTTGTGCCATTTTCTATACTTTTTGAAAGTCACTACGCACACAGCTACACACAACTCTAGAATTGCAATATGGCGCCCTCCAGGGTCACACGTGAGTACCACAGACTAACGGATACACAGACTGGACGAAACGCCAAAATAGCGTAATGCAATTGAATGGTGGCGCCGCCCAGCGAATGAAGCGGTACACTAAAAATCTGGCTGTGGTGACAGACCGTGGATGTGTAACGTTGTAACATTAAAAGGTCTCTATCGTTAATTCTAATATTTGGACTGGAGTTTAATTATGCATTCCTGAATCTAGAAGGTCAAATGTTGGTCTTCAAGTAGATTTTGCTCTATTAAACGGCTATACATTTATTTTTACATGCAAAACGATCATCCACACCGTATCACAGACTAATGCACAATTAGTAAATACACACAATTCATCACAATGCGTAATGTGCACACGGTATACTGTGCTACAGTCGTAGTTTAATTTATTCCTTAGTCTGTGACCGGATTTGGTGAGATGTTTGTTTTTTCTACAAACAATAAAAATAATAAAGACGATATAATTTCCATATTTTTTACTCAAATACCATAAATCACATTTATTGCTAAGAAGCTTAATCACAAGTGATGGAGCTTCAGCAATTTACGATTCAGGGGCCGGATTTATCAACGTTGCGTACGGAAAAGTGTATTGCGTACACAGAGTTTCTACGAAGTACGTACGCAAAGCTCGTAGGTGCGATTCATCAACGCAGCGTAGCACCTGCGTACACAATTGTTGATGAATTCCAGTGTAAATCCACTACGCCATCGTAGCTTCTGGCTGTTGAGGGGAGTGAGGGGTGTTCGTACACGTGCGTTCGTGCGTGTGCACGTGCGTGTGCACGTGCGTGTGTGCGTGCGTGCGTGCATGTGCACGTGCGTCTGTGTACACGTACACGTGCGTGTGTGTGCACGTACACGTGCGTGTGTGTGCACGTACA